AGCAGGAGGAGCAGCAAGAGAAGATTCATGATGCATCATCCCAGTCCACTTCATCTCATACCACAAAACCAGATGAGGAAGAGGTTTTCATGGATGCAGATGATGAGGGGGAGACGACAATTCTGGTCGAAACTCCAGAGGGGAACTATGAGTACGACCCAGACAAGAAGAAGATTGAGATCCCCTCCAGGAAACTGAGGTCAAAGGACATGATCAAACCTCCTAAAAAGTACCAATCGTTCGTGGCTTCATCTCCTACAATTCCAAGGAATTATGAAGATGCTATTTCTCAGCCTGAGGGAGAAAAATGGATGGAAGCGATGAAAACGGAGATGCGCAGCCTGGAGGGGAATCGTACTTGGAAATACGTACCGAGACCTCGTCACGCCAAAGTTCTGGAACCAAAGTGGGTCTTCAGTATCAAGAAAAATATGAATGGCGAGATTGAACGATTCAAGGCTCGTCTCGTCGTGCGCGGATACCGACAGCAGTTTGGGGTTGACTACCAGGAAACTTTCTCAACGGTGGCTCGTTTTGAATCCATCCGTTTCATTCTGGCTTTCACAGCAGCAGATGGGTGGAAATACAAACAATTCGACGTGAAGACAGCGTACTTAAATGGCGTCCTTGATGAAGAGATTTTCATGTCGCAGCCAGAGGGATTCGAAATAGACGGGGATGATCTGGTGTGTCTACTTCTCAAGAGCCTGTATGGATTGAAGCAAAGCTCACGATGCTGGAATAGGACCTTCTCAGATTTCCTGAAAAGCATTGGGTTGTTTCCTACACACAGCGACCCTTGCGTGTTCATCGGTGTCATTTTTGGATTCATAGTTATCGTCGTTCTGTACGTGGACGATGGAATTGTGACATCAAAGAGCGAGCTAGCAATTGCGTTTGTTGTGGACGCCATGAAAAAGGCGTTCGAGATCACACGAAAAGATTTGGAGGTGTTCGTCGGAATTGAAATCACCATTGAGGGTGGGACGATGACACTAGCCCAACACCAGTACACTGAGGCTCTACTGGAAAAGTACGACATAACCGAGCGCAGGACTGCGTCCGTCCCAATGAAGCAGAATTTGGATTTGGTGAAAGCTGAAAATTGTGACACTGCATACCCATATCAGGAACTGATCGGCTCACTTCTCTTCCTGGCCCGTGTAACCCGACCAGACATCGCGTATGCTGTGACGAAGCTATCGCAATTTAACACATGCTATGACAAGACCCACTGGGATGCAGCTCAAGATGTCCTCCTGTACCTGAGAAGGACCGGCACTCTGGGGATTCAATACGAATGCAATTCTGAGTTCGTAATCAGTGCCTACACCGACTCTGACTTTGCCGGGGACAAGAATGACAGGAAGTCCACCACTGGGTTTGCAACGTTCGTGAACGACTCGCTTATCACTTGGTGTTCCCAAAAGCAAGATGTGGTCACCCTTTCCTCCACAGAGGCGGAATACACCGCTCTGTGCGCCGGAGCGAAGGAAGTCGCCTGGTTGCGAAAATTTGCAGAGGAAATTGGAAGAGAACAAGAGGAGCCAACAACAATAATGGTGGACAATACCAGCGCAATTCGGCTTGTGGACAATCCCGAATTTCATAAAAGAACAAAGCATGTGGATGTTAAATACCACTACACGAGGCAATTGGCGGAAGAAAAGAAAGTTGAAGTGGTCTACACTCCCACACAAGACCAGAAGGCGGATATTCTCACCAAACCATTGGGAAAGTCCAAACATGCTGACATGGTGGAGAAGATTGGCCTGAAACCCGTCAACCGAAAACCAAGGGGAGGTGGGGGCAGTCTCTTCTGGACCTGGGCAATGATGATGTGTCTCTTGGGAGTAACACAGGGAGTGAATGTCCAAAACTCCCAACCCATTCTCTGGAGAGGAAGCCCTGTTCCTGTAATTTCTGGATATGAGACGGTCTACCTAAGGATAAAATTAATCAGCCCATGCACCCTGCTCACTGAAGAAATCGTACCGAAAGGACAACTGGAGACTGCAAAGAAAATATGCAACGAGATGTACGAGACTTATTTCATCCATGAAATGAAGCAGATGTGTCCTTCTTTCCATAACTTCAGTATGAGCAAGCACAGACCGAAGAGATTCATCCTGGTGGCCCTGATTGCTCTTGGCGCTGTGGTGGTGACTGGACTTGGCATTGGGGGAGTGGTGCTGGCAGCAAACAATGCAGCAAGAATTTCAGATCTGGAAGAAATTTCAAGTCTCCAAGAAAAATCCATTAATCAATTGGAGGAGCAGATGAATTTCACTGAAATTGCCTTGCAAAAATTGCGAACTGATTTCAACATTTTGGTTAAGGACCACGAAGTCCTAGACAAGAATTTGAACGAAATAACAGAGAAGGGCCCCAACACTTACTTTACCATTTCCTACATAACTACGAAGCTGATGATGGGGAAACAGGTTATTAAAGAAGCAACCCGGGCCTGGAATAATAAGAAAATCCTAAACGGGATGATGGACTATTTCAACATAACTCTTCCATGCGGAGAAGATGAGTGTCCACTTTCACTCGCAACAGGAAAGAGATGCTATTTCGGGGAAGACATGAAAGACCTGTACATTCAAATGGACATGCCAAAGGTCAACAAGGCGCTGCAATTGGTTGAAGCTGACGCATTTGACTTGATGCTACAAACCTGGAACCAGACATGCAGAATCACCTACAACGGACCAGAGAATGCTATTCTCTCCAAGAAGGAAGGATGTCCAGTCGCCCTGAATTTGAAGACATCCCGCATGTACGACCTGGTTCTTTCCTCCTCGCAAGACTGCCTGAAGGGATTCAAGAACAAGAGTGAAAATTCCTATTTCTCTGTGAAACACTGTCAAGGGAGAGGAGAGAAAGATGCAGAAGACTTCATACAAGTCAAGCCACATCACGGGTCCCTACATGTGTACTGCTTTGGATGCAACATTACAATTGACAACTTATCGCAAGAGTGTCCCAAGGAGGTCTTCATCCTGCCCATTGGAGCTCGATTTCGGATCAACAACCAGGAGTTTACGGGATCCATCGTGCACATCGAACACCAGGACAGCCCAGACCCACTCTTCACGATGAGGACAAATGCTTATCTCAAGCCGCGCGTGGACTACCAGGAACTGATGAAAGACCCGATGGTCAACAACCACTTTGTCTTCAGCAAGGGAGAGACGTGGACCCATTCGGAAACCTGGCATATGGAGATTGGATTGATCATAACCCTGCTCGTGGTCATCATAGTCCTGGCGTGCATCCTCACCAAGTGCTACTTGGACCACCGGAAGATAAAGGTGAAAGTGGTAACAAAACCAAAGCCACTGAGGAATCAAGAGATTGAAGAAGATGAGGACTCCCAATAATGCGAATGAGGGAGAGTGTTGGATAAAATGATCTAATATTAGGTATTTAGGTTAGCTATTTCAAGTAGCCTTTCATAACGGATGTTTATGGCACCGACTTTATTGGACCTTTGTACAGTGTCAGCTCATTCTTAGCATTCCCATTCTTGGGAGAAGGATTTAGCACTTCCTTTCTATTTAGGTCAGACACTTTGGAAAGTGTCGTGAGGAACAGTTTCATACATTTATTAATACATATTCTATTACTCATGATGTCTATATAATCATGTTGCATGTTGACAATAAATTATCAGTCGATTGGCAACCGTCGTGTTGTATCGTTGTTCATTATTTACCACAGGTACCACAAACGACGTGCCGGTTAGTCCATAATTTTGTTCCAGATCTCAAGCTCCTTGTAGAAAAAATAGTAGTCTGCGAAACTTTTAGGGGCACGTGCTATAGCTAGACATAAATGAAAACACATACGCTATTGCCAAGCATCAATAAGATTCATCGAATTATTTGTCATGCTCGATTACATATATTGCAAATCGAGGTGTCTTGAAATTTGGAAATTTGGAAATTTTATCCTTATGACAAATCTATATCAAAGCCCAATATATTCATTCTTGACGGTACTCTACCCACCTAAAGTTCCACTGAGTATGGAGGATCTACTAAATTGCGATACCCCCCTCATAGCAATGGATACTGTGTACGATCCCAAGATGGAATTGTATTTACCAAACATATCTTCTAGATTACATCATCCCCAGATTGATTGAGGGAAGCGGTGAGAATATTGATTTCATTAATTTCCTGAAAAAATTTCAAACCAAGGTCTTATTCGTCATCGACACATCGGTTGCTAAAATGGTGGATACAACAATACTTGAAAATTCGAGTCGAAAACATCCCCCGATTGCCTTACTTTGTGTGAAAGATGCACTAGAAGATGTCATAAAACCAGTAAAATTTCAAGGAAACCGCCGGGGAGTACGAAACAAGGCTGACTCACCGTTCAGGATGATTGAGATTAAAGCCGGAACTCGAAATTTATTGGCGCCATATTTTGCTAAAGAGTGGGTGCGAATGTATGAGACTGGCTTGAGCGATATGTGGAACAAGATGTCAAGTACTAGCTTATTTTTACGGGTTAAAGGAGCACACCTGGAAAAGCACAAGTATTTCGAGGCGGTTCAAACTTTCTTTGGAAATCCAAAAGATATGGTGCCATTTCATGAGGCGACCCCTATATTGGTAGAATTGATTAAGCCCATATTTGTAATTTGTGGAGTCATTTTAATACTTGCAGTGGTAGGATTCATAGCAGAACATAAGGAGCTCGTTAGATCTTGGTATTTACATACTTACACACGTACGTTTAGGGAAGTACTAAATTTATAGAAAAATTGAGCAGCAGCTTTAACGGTAATTAGAAATCCAATTTATTTTACCATTAATAAAAAACTGACGTAACTTGAATGTATATTGAGCGGCTAGTCAGATCGAAATAATGGGTAATAATTTGGTTTTATTAACAACGTTTATTTATTTAGATATTTCATCTTGATAAATATTAATTGAAACCATGTTTATATTTTATTTCTAATGCATAAGGTAAATTCCTCAGCAAAATTGGGAACATAATCCACACACCGTCAACTGCTTTTGTTATTTTCTTATAAATATGTAGATGACAATATTTAGATGTTTGAATCAAAGAAAATTTCCAATTCTATAATTTCCACATTATGATGACGTAATACTTAAATTATTACCGTCTTGATTGAAATTGTTCAACCTTATGGGGAAATAATGAGATTTTTTAAATTAATATATAAATAAATACTAATGCATTATAATTGTACAGAAAAAATAAATTTACTTAAGTCGCCTGATACAAAAATAAGAATAAGAGTTAGTTGAATAAATAATTACGTCCATCAAACTAAATAATCCATCCCTATGGTCCATTATGGAATAACTAGTGGCAAGTTCAAATTCAAAATCAGCCCGCTCCCAATGTTGATCAAAAATGCACGTGACTTTTGCGCGAAAATATTCTGCCACTAGTTCTTCCATACACTGCAATATTTCTCAAGAGTATGAATCCGGCGACTATGTTCAACTAATTGTGCAAATCTAAAGAACCACTTTCCACAGAAATAGCATTCGTAATTCTTCACCCCGTCGTGCACCCGCCTCACATGAATGGAAAGCTCGTACTTTCTCCAACTCTTGAATTCGCACTTATCACAAGAATTAGGCGGCGACTTGTTTGAATGTTTGGATGCAACGTGACGCCTCAAGTCATTGGTTGTCACGTATACTTTATCGCACATGTTGCAGGGATAACGGCGATTTTCGTGGGAAGCCTTGACGTGACTCCACAACGTGCCGTAGTGCAGGAAGTTACTAGGACAAAATTGGCATTTGAAAGTTGTCCTGATCGATCTATCCAAGTGGGTACGCTAAGAAAATATTTTATTTGAATATGTGTAATGGTCGGTAAACTTAAAGTAAACGGTGTACATACATAATATACACTGAAAAAAACGTAGTAATAATCATTACGGTCTGGAATGACTATATGTCTCTACTACGTTGGTAAGAACATGTCTCGAAAATGGTAATAATCATTTCGGCGAAATTCAAATTTCTTACCATAAAGTAATGAAATGGATATGTACCACAAGCAAATAAATTTGAATTTAGCTGAACTTATTGTTACCATTTTCGAGACATGTTTTTACCAACGTAAATAGTAGAGAAATATAATCATTCCAAACCGTAGTGATTATTACTATGTTTTTTATGTGTGCAGCAAATATTATTCCTTACCTCATGAGCCCTCAAAGTGGTACGTGATGTACATCTCGACCCACAGGTTTGGCAGGGATAAGGCCTTTCCGTCGTGTGGGTTCCAATATGACGCTCAAGATCATTTCTAGTTTTGAAATCTTTTCTACAAAACGGACAAGTGAATCGGACAGGATTTGGGACGTGTTCCATCCTAAAGTGATTGGATACTTGTTTCTTGTCCAGGTATGTTTTCCCACAACCAGAAAAACTACAAGGAAACCGTGGCCGTTCTTTCGTACTGTGAACACTGTTAAGGTGTCCACGTAGCATTGACGGATGTGCAAATGTTCGGTGGCAAATAAGACATTCATACTTAGGTCGACCATTGTGGAAGGTGAGAAAATGATATCTCCGTCGGGTATTTTTTATCGTTTTTCCACAAATCTGAAATTATGCAAAATATTATTTAGGTTTATTTTATTTTAATACAAACTTAGGAGTAAGAGTGCGACTTATTACTATCTCTTCATAAGTGATGGATGGATACTTTTCGTAAATATGTACATACATAGTTTCTGGATATGAATGAAGAATGTTTCAACAATAATGTTTAAAGGAATAAATATTTTTAATTTTTACCATGAAAGCAAGGAAATAATTTCACTAAAAATGAAACATTATAAAATGTCCATGTCCATCTTTCTGGAATTTTTGAGTTAACGGAAAATTGTTTTTTAGTTTGAAAAATGTTTCTAAGCCAAAAATAAATATGTATGTACACTCCTCCTATGTAGAAGTTATCTAATACAGCGGCTGTATTATCATTCAAATATATAGAATCCTTTGGTTTCTTAACCAACTTACCTCACAGTTGACGGTGACATTGGACTCCTCAGGTTTCCTCTGGTGTGTCCGCTGAGGAAAATTGAGGACAAAAATTGTTAACGAGCTTTAGAAATGTTATCGTTCACCTCACCTCATGACGCCTTAAGCAAGAACTCCGACGAAATCTAGCCGCACAGATTTGACACGCGTAGGGTTCCTCTGCAGTGTGAGTAATCACATGACGAAGATGATCTGACCTGCATTTAGATTCTCATCCACAAAGGGCGCAAGGAAATCGGACAGGATTTTGGACATGCTCAATGTTACCATGTCGAGTAGCCGACTCCTTACAGAGATATGTTTTACCACAACCTGGGAACGTGCATGGATATCGGGGTCGTTTTTGCATATCAGAATGAAGATTTCTTATGTGTGTTCTTAATGATGCCGAATTGCAAAATTCTCGCAGACAAATATTGCAACTATCTTTAATGTGGTCACTGTGTAAGTGGTGGAAATGTTTTCGGATTCCGGCGGAAGTTGTAAATGTTTGTATACATATCTATGTATGTAAATTTGAAGGTTTACATAAATGTGAGAAATTTATTCGTTGGCATTTTACGTCATAGTTTTAAATATTTCTCACTTACCTCGCAGGTTAGATTAACCCTAGGTGAACTGTGTTTCTTGGGACTTTTGACTATTGGGGTAGTTAATGAACCCTTGGGACATTCCATCATTTCGCTGTCGTTTCTGTAATTGGACACCAGTCAGCGTTGCCTTTTCCTATGTTTTATGGAAGACTGCAAAGACACACAAAGACAGACAAAATTACAAACAGAGTAGTGACGTATAATTTCCGTAGGCTTTATAATTGAGAATAGAAGCTTTGTTATCTAAGAATATTAATTTGACACTACCAGATTATAGTACTTGCATACTTTCTACAGACATACTGTGCGTACCCATGTCTGTGGTATAGGTAAAACAGAGACGGGTCAACAAAAAAAACACCATCCATGATGGATGTCCATAAAAATTTGAAACTTCTTCGGAAATCATAAAATATTTGCAAAAATATTTTCTTCCTGTGAAATTTTTCGAAATTTCTCGAAATCAAAATAATTTTTAATTTTTTTAAATTTCGGAAAATTTCACAGGAAGAAAATATTTTTGCAAATATTTTATGATTTCCGAAGAAGTTTCAAATTTTTATGGACATCCATCATGGATGGTATTTTTTTGTTGACCCGTCTCTGTTTTACATATACAAACAGACATGGGTACGCACAGTATTTTGACCGACGCATTTCACGAATGTATTGAGCTTACACTGGAGAGCAAATGTGAACGCCCAAAACCACAAGCACAATTCGGATCATAGTTTCTCAATAAGTACGGGGAATTTTTGAAAGGTTGTTATCTCATTTTGAAGACAACTTAGTACACAAACCTTCACCAAAGCAGAGCTCCACGCCGTTGAAAAATCGGCGGCGGCGGCGTGAGTCGTGACAACCGTCGGCGGCGGCGGCGCGCCGCGGCGCGCCGTTTGGGAGCTCGGCGGCGGCGCGCCACGGCGCGCCGATATTTCTGGCTCAGTTTACCAGTCAGTGATCATAACTGACCTCTTTATTTAGCTTTCCAATACATAGTAATGTATTTCGCGTGCTAATTTTAATTGATTCAGAGAGAAAATAAGCCGACCCATTTTTTAATTCGTGTTAATTCGAGTTTTCTGCATTACAGAATTTCAAAAATATTTCTCAACTAAATCCATCAGCCTTAATAGCCATGTAACTCGATTCTTGACGGAAATTCGAAAATTTAAAAGTTTGCTTGATTTTTCATAAAATGGAATGTTTGAAATCTTTGTAATTGTAAGTTTTAAAAAACCACAGGACTAAGCAAAATTTAAGATTCTCAAAAAACAGCAATTTCGAAAGGTCAGGCTATTTATTTACTCAATTTGTATTGCCCAAAATATCATATTTTAAATATACTTTATCTATTCTTTAAGTGGTGTCAAAATTTGAACTGACCTCTAATTAAAAATGCGTATCGGGAAAAAACTATTCATTTTCTCAATGTCAATCACAATCACAAACGAAACCGTTAAAACCCAAATTTCAACATTTTTTCTCGTTTTAACTGGTTTTAATTGTACGAAATATCTTTTTTCTCGGCGGCGCGCAGGGACTTATGCGGCGGCAGCGCGCCTCGGCGCGCCGATGAATTTCCTCGGCGGCGGCGGCGTGTCAAATCGGGTCGGCGTCGGCGGCGCGCCGGCGAAAACTCGGCGGCGTGGAGCTCTGCACCAAAGTAAATTTGCTGTAAGATTATTTTTCACTCCGTACGGAACTTCGGCGTCAAATTAAGAAATGAGCATTGGTGCAAAAGTCATCGCCACAAACAATTAAAATAACAGCAGTTTTAAAATTACGAAAGTAGGATAACATCCTTTTTAATTTCTAAGTACACCTACTATTGAGGTATATACAAAATAATTGCTCTCCAAATAAGAAAATGTATGCGAGGAGAAAATGTGCAATAATGAAACAACAATCGTTATTCGGGATCTGGTCATTCAGCATTACGAAAATAGGGGGAAGACGCAAGAAGAATTAGCTCATTTGGTCAAAAAATCTCGTCAACTGTCCGTGACATCATTTCACGTTACAAATTAACGGGATCTATCGAAAACAGACAACGAGGAGGACGTCCACCAAGTTTCATCACGCGCGAGTAGAAAATATTTGCTCGAAAAGTGACCATAAATCTAAAACCTTCGTCTCCCAAGATTTCTGGTGAAATAGAAAATGATGTTGGAAAAGTATTTAGTGGTTGGGCAAGCTGGAGAGTATTGAAAAACAGTGCTCAAAAAATTATGGAGCCAGGAGGAAGCCTACATATCAAAAACGCACTAGAAGAAAATGTTAGATTTTGCAAAGCAACACACAAATAACGATTAAAAATTTTGGGAATCACTCTAATGGCTGCTAAGGGTAAACTTAATGTTTTAGGGTCGGATGGAAGGGTTCGAGTATGGAGAAAAGTCGGAGAATCTGACAAATTAAAAAATCACAACGACACCTTGAATGATGGCGGAGGATGCGGCATGATATGGGAGTGTTCAGCTCCGCTGGGGACGGTACGCACGAATTCATCAATTCACCAAGCACCAAATTATGTACCAAGACCTACTAAAGAGAAATGGTTAACAATTAGCAGCAAAACTAGACCTTGGATGGCGCTACACCTGTTAGTAGCACCGCGACCCTAAACGCACGGCCAAGTCCACCTATGAACTCTTTTGACCAATAAGATTAATGTTCTCGAATGGCCTCCACAAGGACTAGATCTCAGTCCTACTGAACATAGGTGCATAGGAACATATATTTAGAGATCCGAGAACGCTAAATTTCAAGCAAAGCTGACGTGAAATCAAAAATCTAAGCCTTGTTGAGTGACGTCAAACCTGGTGTCACTAAGACATTGGTTGCGTCCATGCAACGTCGCTGATAGGCTGTCATATTTTCTAATGGACGTCCAACAACATATTAATTGTTAATGGTTTACTTTAAAATTGAAAATTTCAGAAATATTAAATGTTTTATTCATTTTGGCGATCACTTTTGCACCGGCTGTTTTTACTTTTTATCAAATCTACTCACTTGTGATGAAAACTATAAACGTTTATTTAGACTATTTGATACAAATTTGTTAAATATTAAATTGTCTACAAAACGCAAAAAAAACTTCTGGAAAATTTCTTATTTTAAAAAAGTTACAAGCAATCTAACGGCAAGCTTTCTCTTGGGCGATGACATCTGTTCTCCAGTGTACCCTGCTCTGTTTTTGTTCAACTTAAACTTAAAGAACTTGAAGTTACACAAAAACGATGCTTTACGTTACGATACACAAAAATCTAGGAAAGTGTCCTGTCCAATGCTACAATATCACTGAAATAAAGAAATGACTGTTTTAGTTGAGTAAGGCCAAGCAAAACTGTAACTATTATTGGCAACAAAGTTTATTTCCACCACATTTACATATGTATGTACACATTACCTTATGGATGTACTTCTAAAGTAATCCTGTGATGAATAGACCCTTTTAAGTCAGACCTTATTCTGTCACACATGGAAAAGCACGCAGCTCAGATCAACCTTTCAATCGTTATTCTCCCCCTTTCTAGGAATTTTAAGGGGAAGGGTAGTTTGATGGATATAGTTTCGAAAATGATAAACTCTTTAGATATATATTTACCAGTATTTTAAATTGTACGATCCAACACTACATACATATACTTTTTCTCTACCCTGGCTACAAAACGACCTTCATTTTGAATAAGTATATGTGTGTCCTGCTTTGAAACAAGTTTGACTTCACTTACGTAATTCTGCGGAGCCTCCCAGAAGGTCTAATTGGACTGGCTTCACAGACGAGGATTTTTCTGGAAATTCGTCCAGTCTCTCAACTTGAGCATATGAAACCCAGAAGGAATGTGGATCAGACCCTTCGTAAGAGGATGTTGCACAAAATACAGGAGCGTGTACAGATGTATTATGATGTCGATAAATCTTTGAGAAAATAATTTGTTGACAACCTTGTTATACATTTCGAGTCTTGTTTGAATCAATTTATGTAATTCATGAAGGAAAACCAAAATATTTAAATAAAATTCATGCAGCCTGCCAATGCAAATTTAGAAAATTAGATGATTAATAAACACATACATATTATAAAATAATCCCAGTGTACATATTTATTAGAGATTAAAAAATCATATTGAAAATACTTTATTTTTATGTAGTAGGAAATTCAACTAATTGAAAGTATTGAAAGTATGTAGTCACAGGTTATTAAGATAAGAAATCTTGCCCAGTGAGAGTTAGATTAACAACTACTTTTATTACCAGAAGTCAAGTCATATTTATAACGATACAGTTAAAAACAATACGCCCAAAATATCTGCTAATTATTACATTATAACTAATATTCATAAACTCAATTGGGAACGGATCCCAGTCATCACATTCCAGTGACATCAGAGTTTCTCACTCTGAGCTCACTGACCATAAATCTTGTATTACATTTTAACACCCTCCTTAATACATAAATTTATGAAACATAGATAACCTCCTCCTCGGTCGATCTCGAATCATGAGTACCAACGCCCAAAGTCTTCATCTCCAGATTCATCCGGCGGTGCACTTTGCGCGTATACCTTTTCTTCCTTGCACACTTACAGTTACTCTTCTT